CACATGTTTGTATTCACTATCTTGTTTAAAAATCAAACAGACTTGTTACTGGGGTAAGCATACAGTGACTACAGTGATTACTGTGTGCTGGGTATCTGAAAACAGCTTGGCTGGATTTCTTGTTAGTGCTTGGAATACAGTGAAGCTGGCCAGAAGTAGGGCTTATAACAGACAGGTTTGTTGAATGAGAAATAGAAACAATGCTTTGCCTGAAATTACTTGAGCTCTGTATGCAGCAAATTCCTGTTTACTTCTATAAGCTTCCAGTTTTGCCGTTAGTGAGGTTTGTGTAGTAGGTAGAAAATGGAGGTAATGAAAATAAATATCTGGTGAATCATCTGAGAGTTTTCTTGATTTGTGGGAAGGCTGTTCCTAACAGTTAAAAAAATACACGTATATCTTCCAGTTCATCCTGCAAATAACAAGTGGTCTTTGGCAAAACACATACTAGCACTTGGTCTTAAAAGTTAAATGTGTGGAACCATTTACATAACTCATTTTGAGTGCCTTGTTACAGCTTCTGGATACAGAAGTCTTAATTTATTGCTATTTCACACTTGGATTTCCTTTACAACACTGAATTGGATTTTTTGGGAGGCAGGGGTGATTGTTTTTGAAAGAGTGACGTTATGTGGCTGAACGTTTCAGGGATGCTGTGTGGAATGGGTATCCTGGTAAATGTGTCAGTGATCAGTGTGTATGATTTGGTTATCATCATTTGAGAGAATGCTGCATTTGATGACCTAAGCCCCTTTCAGTATTAGGTTCTTGTGGGACTGCAGGCCCAAGCAGGACTTTCATACTGCTGCTAGATCCAGGAGAGCTTGAGCTCAGATGGCTGAAGCCAGGGAGCAGCTTTGATTTCTCCCAGGAGGCAGTGATGGTGTAGGAGTGCAAATACATGCTTGTGCTTGCAGGACATCTCTTTATTCTGGCCCTTATAGGAAGCAGGCACGTACTGATGCCTTGGGAGTCTCCTTTCTGCAGGCCTTTCCTTAATATGTTTTTAAATGTTGCTATTGCCTGAAGGACAAATTTGAACTGGATTGTGTGGTGGTAAACTCAGTACACAGCTGTGTATGTTTCCTGCCCCGAGCTACTTCTAGGCTCTGTTAAAGAGGAGCTGTGTTGTGTGAAGAAAAGGGATGTAACTTAAGTTGTGTGATGGTCTTGAATTAGATCTAGCTACTGGTTCAGCTGGATGAGAAGGAAGAGCTGTGTGAACAGAAGTAAGGATGGCAACACAGAGCATGTGAAAGGATAGAGGTGGAGACTGAGGAACAAGCAGGCTGGAGATGAGTGGATCAGCTAAAGTTTATTTTAGTGGGCAGAAATGAAAGATCATCTGTGTTGGTGCTCTCTATGAATACAAAACCTGTTTAAAGCAGCTTTAATTTTATATTGCAGCCTAGGCCATCTGATGAGAATGAGGCAAAAAAAGGCCAAGAAGGCCGATGTTTCTCCCTTCCTGGGACTGTAAGAAGTGAGGGATTAATATTACAAATGCGTATTTTGATACAGCTGTGAACTGAAGAAGCTACTGCTTCTGCAGTACCTCATCACTGCAAGTGTTTAGGTTGCCATGCACCAAACCTGACAAGGAAATTTCTCAAAGTTAAAAATAATTCAGGAAAAGTAGTTGTTTTTAACCCTGCTTGTGCTTCAGTACTGCTGGTGGCACAGCCACACAGGCAACTTCTTACCCAGCCACTTCTGCTGGAGGGTGTCCCTTCTGCTGGAGGATATGTCTGTGAAGCTATGAATCACAGACTCACAGAATATTAGGAGCTGGAAGGGACCACGAAAGCTCATCCAGTCCAACCTCCCAGCCAGAGCAGGATCACCAGACCAGGTCACACAGGAAAATGAAGGGGTGATTCTGCATGTGGTGGAAAGGGTTTTGCTTTTTTTTTCATCACCACAGAGTTGGAAAGAGAGGTAATGCTAGAACAAGGCCTTAGGGAGGCTGGATGGACCTTTGCTTTTCCCTCTGTGGCTGGAGGTGGTGTTCTGGGGACCAAGACCCCTCCGGCCTTTACGTGTCCTGTCAAGCAAATGTGAATAAGCAGTACGGATGATTCCTGGTTTGGGTCTTCTGCTGCTCTGTGCTATGTGGGTATTCCTGCAGTGAGGGCTGCTATTGATAAAACTCATTATGTCTGATCTGTACCTAACGTAAATGTTATGTGGGACAAAGTCACGTGCACAAGATCAAGTGATGAAAGTTTAATCTGTTTTTGTTGAGTTGGAGGTTTTTAAACCTTGTCATGTGGATTGATGTGACTAACAGCAGCAGCTTAGCAGCTCACCTTCCCCCCTCACCTCCTGGTTGTTCTTTTAAGCAAGAAAGGATTGTTGACCTGAGTGGTGTAGTGATCCAATAGTCTGTTTCATGAAGCAGCACTTGGTGATGTTATGTGGCTTAATGCGGCATTGGCCCTGGAACTCATTGCCCTTTGTTTCAGCGGAACAACTGATTCATGCAGTCATGGTGTGAACTGGATAGGGGAGCTGGTATAGTGTTGAAGGAGAACGTGTTCTGCAAGATTTTTCTGCTAGACCAGCTGGCCTGAGTGAGAGACTGCACGTTTTTGAGCTGGAAGCAAGCTTCCCCCTTTCAATGGAGGGGGAATTCCTGAAGCTGATGTTAGTGTTGAATGCTTCGTCTTGCGAAACCACGAATTTGAGTGTTCTGTGTTAAATGAAAAAAGCAGAGTTTTACTGTGCATCTTTTGATGCATTTAGTGAGGCAGAGGAAGGTTGAATTGGCTGGTACCATTTAGTTTTCAGAGTTTTGTTGAGTTTGGTGATCTGCAAGAATATGATACGGTTTTTGGTATCCTTAACTCTGTGCTAAAGCCATGACTTTTTTAGTGACTTTCCCAGTCTTTTAACGTAAATACTCTTATGTTGATTGCAGGTGAATGTGTGAACAAGAAATAAGTTGTGTGGTTTTTTCGTTCTCCTAGTCTAAACTTTTCTTGGCATGCTAACAGACAAGACGTGGAGTGCTTGGAGTGGCATTATTGGTAATGCAGATGTAGTCATAAAATGTCCTTCATGTTCTGTAACATCAAAAGGAAATGGTAGATCCATATAATAGTAGATAATTTATTTGCTGTGGATTTTTGTCAGGTTTCTGGTACCACACTGATCACAGTCTGTATCACAGCCACTTAATACTACCTACAGGTTACTTTACTTGTCTCTGCATAATCTTTTTCTTGTGTTTCCTCCTGCTCAGTTCTTGATGCTCTCAAAATGAGAGGCATTGTCGTTGCACTATGGGACTGAAGTTAAGGAAGATTCAGACAGAGTAGTGTGGATTTAGAGGCAGCCTTTCTGAAAGGGAAAGCATTCAAAAGGAAGGTGTCAGTAAAGAATTGGATATCGCTCCTTCCTCTGCAGCAGAGCTCCTTTGTGAGAAGCTGACTTTAAGGCTTGTTTGCACATGGAGGAATAGTTATTTTGCATTATGTTCAGATTCTGCTTCTGTTCAAGTAACCTTCATGTATAAACAGTGTTTTTTGGTGTCTGCCAGACCACATGAACAAGTTACTTTGAGAGTGCCTTACAGGAGGTACCCATGTTCTACTCTCTTGTACTCCGCAGGCTATGGTAGATTAGCTGTATGCTACCAGTCTGCAAGGTATGAGTTGTGGCAGCCGAAGCTGCTGCATTTTAAGGCTGTAGCATCTGCTCTTCTCACTTCTGTGACTGTTACCGAGTTAATTCAGGAAGCTGAACCAGCTTACTGCTCATGGAAGCACCATTCCTGCTGCATGGGAGGTGGTAGAAATTTGGGGGGGAAGCACACAGTAACCCCCCTTCAGACTGGCTGAAGCTTTCAGGCATCACTACCCTGACACGCATTTAATGTAGGGTAGCTGCCCATGCAGCAGCAGTTACTAAGTTGCTATGATGTTAATTACAGGGTGAAAGTATTTCCTGGTAACTGGTGTGTGGAATTTAGACTGTAGCTGGTAGGCTGCTATAAAACAGAACAGGTTTAGCAGTGAAGTGAAATGTTTCCAAGAATGAGAATGGCCAGAGGATTCGAATAGGGCTTTTCACCTGGCTGAACTCCTCACATTAGGATGTCTTTATCTCGTTGCATGTTTCACTGTTGAATTGCTTGCTAGTTCTTGATGTACTGAGAATGCCCTTTCTTTTCCACCCATGTTCTTAGCAATGTGTGGTTTTGTGTGGATTTTTTGTTTTCATCTTGCATGATCAATATCCCATCCAGAGAGCAAATCTAGATCCAATTTTCTAGAGGTGTGATGGAGAAAGGATAGCAAGTCCCCATGATTCTGGCTGGTAAATGGGAAAGAACAGTAAAGGAACTGAAAGCTTTTTATTACCAAACCTGTAATTTTTCTACCCATCAACAGAGCCTTGTTTTCATCTTACTGCTCCACCTGCTTGGTTTCACGTTGTTTGTCCCTTCCCTGCCCTGAGCATCGCTGCCCCTCTGCTCTTCACCCCTTTTCAATCCTCCCACTCGTTCTTCACACTCATTGGTCAAACTTCTATACTTCTAGGCAATCTTTTCCTTTAAATTATTATTATAATTATTCCACCTTATGTTTAGAGGATTCTTCTGAAAACGTTTGCCAAACATGGATTACAAGAACCCTGTCATTCAGCTTTCCTCCAATGGGACAGGTCACAGTATTTTGTCAAAATAATACATCAGGTGGTAAAATAGTGACCTGCTTAGCAGTTGTTCTTGAATTTCTGCAAAAAATATTTGTGTTCCCTTTTAGAACTTAGTTGGCTTCTTTCTCCATTTTTAAAGACATTTTAAAGGATGGCGATTTTAAGTAATGTATTTGGTGGCTGGTTTTTGGTGGGGGTTTTCTTTGTTTGTTTTTAAAATCTATACGTGAGAGAGAGGTAAAAAGCTGTTTTACAGACCTTGCTAACTACAGAAAGTATTTTCTGATGTCCTCAGTTAATACCCAGCCTTGTTTTTTGCTCTGTTTTTCAGCGATGACGCTATGAGGAAGGCTGGTGTTGCCCATAGTAAATCCAGCAAAGATATGGAGAGTCATGTGTTTATGAAGGCAAAAACAAGGGTAAAACATCTCTGTTTGTTTCCAGAAGTTACTGGGGTGTCAAAAGAAGTTTGGAGCAGCCCGCAGAAACAGCAAACCCAGCGTGCTTAGTTAACTGTCTCTGCTTAGAGTACACAGTTATTAAAGTTTTGTATTTATTTGTGTGTGCTTCTTTTATCCTGAGGGGAAGTGAGGTATTTTACATCCAGTATATGCATTAAACTGGACTTCAGTCCAATATAGTTTTGCTGAAGCTGCAACTTTTAATGCATATATGGCACTGCACTTAATTCTTATCTGAAGACTTGCGTGCAGTGAATTGGATGGAATTTCCTTATCTGCAGTGTAGCACCATTCTTTATGACCAGTTTGGTGGTCAGGAGAAACTGAGATACCAATGAAAAGGCTGTGTCCAGAGTAAGACCAAGGGAAGTACTGTGGTCTCTGTAAAAGTCTGGTTATCGTGTCCAGTTTGAGACTCTACTCAGATGTAAACTTCTCTCCTGGAGCTGCGTTATAAGAATTTGGATACCGTTGCTGTCTCCAAACAAGCTGTGTTTGTGATGAAGCTTCTCATAGTGAAAGTTTTATAATGCTGATGTCACAAATCTATGCTTGCTGATGGCATCCTCCCTGGAAAGTTCACCGTTTCATGGGCAGGAAGGCTATCTCAGCCCTGTGCAGTTCCTCTTACACATTAAGAAGCACACTAATAAAATGCTGCAAAGAATATTTGTCTTTTCACTTCTGACACTTTGGTCACGTTGGTCTTTAAAGTTGTTAACTTACCTGTATTTGTAATACTAACTTAGCTTAAAAAAAGTTGTTGTAGTATGAGTGGGACAGAGTAAGTCAGCATGAGCAAGTGGGCAGGTTCAATCATGAAGAAAAAAGAATTAGAGTGGATAAGAAGTGGAAAATGGATGTATTTGTTTATAATTACGTTGACAAACTGTGATGCTATTAGTGCGATTGTCACGGAGGTTCTCTCCAGTGAATATTGTGGTATCTTGGTTTTCTTGTACCAGCAACCACAATGACCTATTAGTAAAAATATTCTCCCTTAGTGGGTGAACAGCCTGTTCTTTGCAAGTGAACTGCTCTGAAAAGCCCACAGACATTGTAAGATAAAATCTGTTATGTTGAGGAAGAATACTGAAGAACCAGAAAGTCATGGGTGCTCTGTTCTTATTTCCTATGCTAAAATACTCATTTTTCAACTTTAGGAGGAATATCTTTCTCTTGTGGCCAGACTTATTATCCATTTTCGAGATATCCGTAAGTAATTTTATTTTGTTGTTTTGTTGTTTTTGGTTTTTTTTTTTCTTAGTAATGGGATTGCTTATCACAACCTCCCAAAAAAGTAAAATTTTGTGTTTGTATGTGTGCTTCTGCATGTGACTCTTCAGGGGTTGCTTTAAAAATTTTCCTGTAATATACATGATTAATTTCTAAAAACTGTTACATGTCCATCTGTAATTGAAAAGTCTTTGAGAAATGATTTAAAGTAACTACTTTTTCCACCTTCCTAATTTTTTTCCTGTATTGTTGCTTTCTCTTGATTGTTTTTGTAGCATTCTGGTTACCAAGTTGGCTTAGGTTAATGTATTTTGTTAGGACTACAGTAGACAGTGATTTATTTATTTTTTAATTATTGTATGAATATATTTCTTGTGGAGACTGTATCTGAAGGACTGAGAAGAAACAAGATTAACAAAGGAAATTAATTGTTCTTCCTTTGCAGACAATAAGAAATCTCAAGCCTCAGTCAGTGGTAAGAGCTCCAATTTTTTTTTCTTCTTCCCCACCCCCCACCCCATTTCTGAAAAGAACAGCTTAGAAATCCGGGCTGTGGTCTACTACAAATAAGAAGGCTGTGGATTCCCTCGCTGGAATATTAAATGCTGCTGGAGGAAAGGAAAGGCAGCAAAGGTAGCATGATAGTCGTGGAGTTGTTCAGCAATGAGAGTGACAGGCCTGGGCAGTGTTCTGGATGTAACAGAGGGGACTTGTTTCCCTGTTTGTACTTCTGTTAGCTCACAACACTAAGATTCTTGAAAGAACAAGAGTGATTGGAAATAATCTGCTGCTGAGCAGTCCACGTTTCTCCCTGTTACCAGCTTTGGAATCCTCAGTGTGTTGCATCAGAGGTGAACACTGTGGGGTTTGTGGGGTGTACGCACTCTGCAGTTTGACTGAGGTTAGAGCTGATGGAGCCTTCTGCCTCTGTGCTAATTCTCGCAGCAGTGTATGTTAGGAACGGAGTATGATCCTCTGTTTTTATCCCTCTGTAGGCTAAATATGCAGTGTCTGCAACTGAGTAACATGCAGCCAAGAGAGATGAAAATTATTTAAGTATTCTTAAAGAGAGGGTGTTGCATTCTGTACCTGATTAATATTGTCTCTGCACCACATGTTGTGTTTTACCCGCTTGAATTGCCATTCCCTCTTTGACTCACTTTTCTGTGTGTGTAGGATTCAGATTATGACAATTGTCTTGAAAGGCACTGAATTTATCCACTGCATAATAAATGTGAGGTTATGTTGGGAACTGTATAGCAAAGTACTTCCTCTGGTCTGAGTGCTCCTTCTGTGTGTTGACCTCAGGAGTAAGAGACTAATTAGATCCACAGGATTCTTGGTTTTTGAGGTTACAAGCTGTATATCCTCACGGAGTTTTGTTGGCAGCTTGTTTAGACTTGCATATAAATTCAGAGGTGGCTAATAAGTTCCTTTACTCTAATGTATTTAGAATCTATTTGAAACTTTGCAAATTTGACACACTTTAAATAATCTCTACTCTATTTACACACAGGCAAAGATGTCCCAGAAGCCTCCTGTGGTCTCACAGGCAAAGCAGTGAATGTTAGACCCTCTGGGTATTTGATCTAGTCATGGTCTGAAGCTGACAGATCAATGTCAGTGATGGAGAACAGAGGATTTTGGGGAGTCAATTGCATGACTGGCTGCATATTGGTACCTGTTTTCTTTGTAGATCCAATGAATGCCCTGCAGAATCTAACTGGGGGTCCCCCAGCAGGAGCCCCTGGAATGGGCATGGCTTCCCGAGCTCAAGGAGCACCGATGAGTGGGATGAGTGGCCTCGGTCCAATGGGACAACAGATGAGTCTCCCAGGGCAGCAGCAGCCTCCTGGAACCTCAGGAATGGCCCCTCATGGTATGCCTGGTGTCTCTACAGCTACTCAGCAGAGTAAGTGTTCCGTTTGCTTCAGCCACTGAAACTTAGATCAGCTTTTCAGTACATAACTCTTGTTCACAAGGACAGCGTGCTGAAGAGCTTCATGTCATGAAGCTGTCATGCTTCTGGCTAAATCAGCCAAGTGAACTGCAGGAAGAATTGATTTCAGATACTGCTACCTAATGGGATAAATGTCTTACTGTAGTGAGGAACAGTCCAGCTGTTGTATGAGCTAATGCTGCTTTTGTCCTGCAAGATATCAACTTCAGAACTTTGTTTTTGTGAGGTCACCTATGTTTTCTGTGGGTGCAGTGCTTCCCACTGGTGACATCTGTGCATATTTCCTATGCATATTTTTATATTCTTTATCTAGGTTGCTGACTCAATACAGATAGTGAGAATTAGAGATTGGTAGTAGGAAGTGTTATTAATTCTGCTGTTAATGTGCTGTATCCGTTTGAGGAAGCAAAAGTTTATGCTGCTAACTTAGAACATGACTGTACTTTAGGGATTATCTTCAATTATTGTTAGTTATACTGAGTAACTGTCTCTCGCACTGTTTGGGTCTCATGTTTTAAGTACAGCCTACCTTCTTTTTAGCCCAACTTCAGCTTCAGCAGATAGCTCAGCAGCAACAGCAGCAGCAGCAACAGTTCCAGCAGCAGCAGGTGGCTTTGCAGCAGCAGCAATTCCAGGCCCAGCAGTCAGCCATGCAACAACAATTTCAGGTCCAGCAGCAGCAGGCGGCAGCAGCTGCAGCAGCCCAACAGCAGCAGCAGCAACAACAGCAGTTGCAAGCCGTCCAGCAGCAGCAACAGCACATGCTGAAACTGCAGATGCAGCAGCAGCAAAACCAACAGCAGGTGATGACAAACAATTACCACAGATGTGATCTGTGTTCAGTTACTTGTCAAGCAAGGCTTGGCTTGCATGGAAGTATGGAATATCAGCTCTGCCTGTTAATGCATTTCCACTCTGGGGTAGGACTTCAATATAGACTGACAAGTTAATTGGCAACAATATATTACATCTCAGAGCAAAGGCTTAACAATCCTTTTGTTACTTTCTTCTGTCATAGCAATAGAGAATTAAAACCTTTGTCTCTTTTTATAAACATCAGGATAGTGTTTCAGACAAGAACAGGGATGTGAGAAAGAATGAAAAGCACTTGTATTACTCTAGAACTAGTAGCTGGTTTGTCATTGTATGAATTACACATTACCACTTTAAAAAACGTGTGCCAGGCACATCATATGTATGTATCGTCTTTGGGCACAAAAGCAAAAGGGGAAACTTCAGTTGTCCTGCTGTTGTGTTGTGCAGTTTCTGGTAAGTAGTGCTGATGCAGGCTGGTTACATTTGAAGACATGCTTCTGAGCCCATTTGTACAGGAGAAGCTAATGGACTTCATCTTTGCTTTTGAAAACTCTGTTAGTAGTGAGACAGAGTTGTAATACTGAAACCATGGGATATACACTATGTAGAGTTGAGATACACGAAGAGTGAGTGGATAAAAAGTTTGGGCTTTCCCTTTGGGCTTAAAACCTCAGCCTGATATATTAGGATTCGTTTGCTCTTGGTTTTTGCTATAAAAATAAGGCTGCTGTTGCATTGCTGGAAGCTTTAGCATCCTGGCTTTTCTTGCTTTTCAGATGCAGCAGCAACAGCAGCAGCAACAACTACAGCGAATTGCCCAAATGCAGCAGCTGCAGGCAGCACAGGCTATGCAGGCACAACAGCAGCAGCAACAGCAGCAGCAGCAACAGCAGCAGCAAATATCACAACAGATACAGCAGCAGGCACCTCAACAAGTAATGCAACAACAGATGCAACAGATCCAGCAGCAGCAGCAGCAGCAACAACAGCAGCAGCAGCAACAACAACAACAACAACAGGTTGCTCAGGCACAACAGTCTCAGCTTCCACCACAATCCCAGCCTCAACCTCAGCCCATGGTATCTCAGTCACAGGCAATCTCAGGACAAATTCCTAGTCAGGTTATGCCTGTTACTCTTACACCCCAGCAATTAAAAGCAATGCAGGTAAGAGCTAGTGACCAGCTGATTGTTGGTTCATTATGATCCTCTAAAGAAAACAAAAATCTTTGATTTTTGCTAATAGCGAAGTAGGAAAAAACATAGCTTATTAAGAGATCTGCAGTTAGCATGTTATGGAGTTTTAAAGGTTTATATCTGGGCCTGACAGTTGAGAGCAGTTTTGTGTCTAAAAGTAGGACTTCTGGAAATCTGTGAAAACATATAGGAAGCTAATATTTAAAAATAATTTATTGTTGTACTCATGAGTGGACAAGTGAAAAGAAGAAAAAGAAACAAACTCCAGTTAAAGAAAAATGACCTCCATGAAGTTTGCTACTCTGTAACATGTGCAAGTGCTTTGAAGTGCCTGGTGCATGTGGCTGGAGCCAGTGTTGGCTCTCTGGGATGCTGGCTTTGCTTCTGCTGCCATGTTTAGTGGTTTTGGTCAAAGTTTGAGATAGTGGTAGTTCCTGCCTTGAAGAAAATGTGGACAAGACAATAGTTTTACTCTGTTGAACCTCTTGCTGGGTCATCCTCTTAATGGTGCAGCTTTTTGAACTGTTGCATTACAGTCAGTTTTTTCTAGGCTCCATATGTTTTACAGAAAATTGAAATATCTATTATTGTTATCGGAAGACCTGATAGTATAGGGAAGAAGTTGCAAGAAGAAATTGAATCTTGGGTGCACGGTCTATGAGAAGACTGTTCTAAACTTTAGAAACATGGGAACTTCTTCTTCTAAAGGCAGCTAAAAAATTCTAGAACGTGTACGTCTGCAAGGCTGATCTTGTCTCCACACCTTTTTTTATGAATAAAGTCAATGTAGTTGAAACAGAAGTGTCATACCCTAATCAGATATATATGTTTGCTTTGTTCTTCCTTTTCATACTCAAGGTAAGAGCTCAGCTGGTCCAGCAGCAGCAGGCAGCAGCAGCAGTGCAAGCAGCTCAGGCCCAAGCTGCTCAGATGGGAGCCTCAGGGCAGGTAAGGGCCCAGGAGCCAGTATCACTAGTTATAGGCCTGTAGCAAGTGCATGCTAGAGACAAGCATGGAGATGGGTTTCTGGTGGCTTTCTCCTGAGGGCTCTAACATCAGTCATCCCTTTTATAAAGGGGATATGGGCTTTTATGCTGTTTCTCCTTTGCCTGGAGTCAGAGGCAGGATTTCGTTGACAACCTCTCTGTGCATGCTCTCTGTCCCAAGTAGGTAAGATTGTTGCCTATACTGGCACAGCAATGCACATCAATAAGACGACCTACTGTGGTCACACTGCAAGTCTGACTTGGTACCTGAAGTGTATCACCTCTTCTTCCGTTAAACTTTCTTAGGTGACTGCTTTGTTGTGTAAACTGATTTCTGTACTGTGAATCTTTGCCTGTTGTCTTTACTCACATGTGATTTACCTTCCATCTCCATGTATCAGCCATAAAAAATAGTATAGACAATGAGATAATTCTGCACTCCCTGTTTGTTCCTTTCACCTTTCATTCTTTTTCCTGAGTGAAATGGGCAGTAGATATCGATTGCTCTTTTTCTGGACGTGAGTTGTGAAGAAAAGTGGCATGTGTCACAAGTGCAGAGTTACATTTAAAAAAAAAAAAAGTGCTGGGTGAAAGCTTATTGTCTAACACAGTTTTCTTACCCTGCAATACACTTGTAGCCCCTGTGATTGTTCCTTGATGTGTGTCTGGTATGAAGGAGACGTGGGGAAAAAAAGTTGGGAATGGCTTGAGCTGAACCCCTCACCCCATTTTCCACGAGAATATGAAATACTCTTTTGTGGCTTACCTCTGTAGTGTATCATATTGAGGCATTTTACAGATACTGGTAAGTACAATTATGACCACTGATGAAGATGAAGAGACTGAGGCAGACATGCGATAAGTTTGACTAGGATTAATGGCAGAGTTCCTGTTGTACACCCAGATATTCCACATCTGCAGGCACCATTTTCCCTTCAGTGCACAAGTAATATTATAGATTCAATAGGACATTTGAAGCCTTTTTACATGGACTGTGATAGCAGTTGGTTCTTCAACATACATCTCCCAGACTTGTATCAGGAATAGCGTCTTTTACCATCGTAACTTTTACGTGGCCCACATCCTTGTTGATGGCTAAGTTCTGTTTCTGTATTGGTCCTTTTGCTTGTCAGTGTAACACAGGATGTAAAAGCTGAGCAGTGGTAAGTACAGTTGGTACAGTACTGGCAGCAATGCAGAATTATCTTTCTACAGTTGAAATGTGAATTAAAACTTCTGTTTGTTTCTTAAATAATTTCCAGGTGGGAGCTGCAGGGACTTAGGCTGCCTGGAAGGAGACTGACTTTTTTTTCTTTTTTACTAACTCAATGGTGCTCTTTTCAGCTTCTAAGCAGGTGGATTGTGCTTATGTAGAGTCAACTTAACTCTTGCCCTGTTTAGTGAATTCATATGCCAGTGGCTTAACAGCATCCAAAAAGTTCCTGTTAATAAAATGGTTCATAGCAGGTCTGCAGCTTTATTCAGACATATGTAGTAAACTCAGGGATTGCTCATTATCTGTCATGGATGGAGTTTAGAAAATTTCACATACAGACTTCAGTCCATTTTGTGTTCATGCCATTGCAATATGAGTCTACTAAAATTCACTTGATGCTATGAAGCCCAGTAATTAAATGTGTAAATATTTTCTGCATATGATCAGTTTTAAGACTGTTGCCGTGTACAATATCACAGTGCAGCCTCAGTGTTGAGAGTGTACATGGATTTTCTTTAATTTATAAGAAGTTTAAGTGTAGATTTTGCTTTGTATTTAGTACATTTTTCACCAGCACCAGCATTTTTATGAAATCTGTCTTGATTTCTTCGTTTGGTTGAGGGAAGCATTTGTTATAAACCAACCCTATCCTAATCTGTGCTCGTTACATTTAAACTTAGTCTCTAGGAGCTTTCAAAGTGGGAATTTTGGTTGATATGGCTGTGTTTTTCCTTTTCCATGAAGTTTCTGTTCATCCTTCCTACATAAAAGTAAAGGCAATCCCATGGATCCACATGAGTTTTGAAGTTCTTTTCTGAAGTCGTAAAGACACCGTGCAGGTCAATGTTACCCTGCTTGGGTGTATAACTAGTCCATGTGAGCACGTACCTTACAGATGAAGCTGATAAATAAACAAAGTGGTGTCCTAGTGACCACAGAGTGCTTGCAGCACCAAGAGAAAAAATCTGTCATCAACTGGACTTAAGTATTAATGCAGTTTAAATCACTGTTCTGGTGCTCTGAGTGCAGACTGGCTGTCGCTCTTGGCAAATCAGAGCTGCCTTTAGTGGAGTGACAGTGGCACGGTACTTACATGTGCTCACCAGAAGCTGCATATTTATGGAATTCTGATTATGGAATTTGGATTTCGGATGAAAAAACTTTACACGTTCAGGATTCTAACTGTTACATTCCGCTTCATTTTTTTCAAATAGTGGGGTTTGTATCTTACAGTGGAGGGAGACCTTCCTCCTCTGTTTCCTCTCTGTTTCTATGGGGTAAAGTTCTCAATTCTGTCAGAGATTGAGATAAATCAGTTCCACTTGTGGCAGAGGATTTGCCTTCAGTTTAAATCTTTTGAAAGTACTTGAACGCTTCTGGTTGTCTTCTGCTTTTATACTGGCAAGAACAACTTTTTCATGGATATATTGCTTTGCATAAAACAGATGCAATCTTCCAAACCCCCTTTCCTGACTCCTTTGTCACAAGTTTCATAAATGTAAATCAGCTGGAGAATGGGAAAAATAGATTACTTTTGTTAAGAGAGTGGAATTGATGTCATTATATAAATATATATTTACACACTTCCTTTCAAAGCACGCATTTAAAAAAAAACCAACCCAAAACAAAACTCAAACCCAGGTTTGTGTGCGTGTGCATGCATGTTTGACCAACCATGATACAACAAATAGCTGAAAGCCTTTGAATTGGAGTTTGTTGTGCTGGTGTTCAGTGGTTTGCCAGACACTTAAACTGCGAATATGCTTCTAATGTCCTTGACCTCAGAGGAAGTAATCTAAATCTTCACACTTTGGTGGTGCGGCACGAGAAACAGGACCCAGATGGGACGTGTGGGTCACCGTAACATCCCTGGGATTTCACACGCTCCAGAGATCCATGTGCATTCACGAGGGTCTAAGATGGGGTGATTGTGCCTGGAACGATATTTGTTTGATTTCCCCCCCCCATAGCAATTCCCTCCCTCCTCCCCCTTTTATTTTCTTTTTTTTTTTAAATTATTTTGGTTTTGTTAGGGTTGTGTTGCTTCACCAGCTCTCATGTTGATACTGTAGCTCTTCACTGCACTTTGTAGCATCCACATGTGCTTTGTGCCAGTGCTGGGTTGTGTTTGCTTGTGGTGGCTGTTGCATGCTGTGTGTACCTGTGCATGTGTGTGTGATGTCTGTGGCGCTCTCATTTGTTTCCCTTTTGAAATCCTGTCTCTGACCATCCCTCTTTGGATGGAAAGGGACTGCATTGCTCTGATGTTGTGAACTAACAGCTGTGCTGAATTTGACACTATTTTCTTTATCAGTTATTGCTTTCCTTTTCAGTCTTGCTATGTTGTATTTAATTTTATTTATTTTTAACAATTGTAAGCACATGCATTCTCTGACTTTCTAGAGACATGTTGCTGGCTGCTTCAGTCCATTTACATAGAACGCTAAGCAAGAATGCCCCAAACCATTTACTGAAAGGAGACTTCATTAACACATAGGTTAATTAGGGCCTGTGTAGGTTCCTTGGTAATAAGTGTGCTGAAAAAAGAAGTAACCCAGAGAACTTTGCTGTAGATCTTTGAAGTACCAACCAGATGCTCTTTTACTGATAAGCGAATCTGCCAAAGTTACTGAAATACTGCCTCAAAAATATGCTGCATTTGCTGTAAATGCTCATCAGATATGGTGTAATGTCAAATTTTAAGAGGGCTATACAAATATATATGATTAAATCTGTGTGGCTCATGCAGACTGATCGTTCCAAAAGGCACTTGTAGACAGGGCAGAGTAGCATAGTCCTAATACTGTTTTGAAATACAAATGCATTCTAATGCCAAACTTCATCATTTTTCCTAAATTACTGTACTTTAGAGCGTGCTTGGTCTCTACATCTGGAGAATCAAATAGTGCATGAATAAGCTTGAGGCAGGTTGTGGACTCAGAATATTTTAGCACAGTTTAGTAATAGAGGAATGAGTATTTGTCAAAGTGATGGAAATTATGAGGATCTATTTGACTTATTCTGTGGGTTATAAAAGGAAGGAAATAGCTTTTTCAAACCCAGAAATCCTTTTTGTTGTCTTTGGCATTGTTATACTGTCGTAAGTTAGGTTGGTCTGAAATTTTGCTCTCTGTGGAGCATTCCTACTGACAGCTGCTGTTGCACTGTCTGCCAAATTCTTTTATAATCAAGGGTGACATATGCAAATACTGCTAAATCTTTTGAGTCCACGCTGGGGGAAAGCATTATATAGCTTCTCATATGGAGCATCCTTAACAACAATATTAGAGTACTTATTTCCAAGAATTGTAGAAATTCAAGATGTCAGGCAGAAATTAGGAGAAGCTCTTCATGCAAATGATAGCACAGTCAACACTTGACCATGAATGTGAACCTACATAGCAACTTTCTCAAGATACCTAGAATTCATTAGATGCTTTCTAAAAACGGATAGAAAGGGTGTAAAAAGGAATTTAATTTATAAGCTAGCATGTTAGTTTAACCTTTAGAGAAAAGCTCACTAACCTTCCCTTCATGCTCCCCCTCCCCCTAACTCCTGAAGGTTGCATGTGCTTCTCATCCTGCCAGTGCACTGCATTTCTTGTTTTGCGATTACTTTTGTCTGTTGTCCCTCTGTCCTCAAAGATGATCACCGCACCTATGGCCCGAGGTGGGATGCAAATAAGACCACGGTTCCCGCCTACCACCGCTGTGTCTGCTACACCGCCAAGCTCCATTCCTTTGGGCGGACAGCAAATGCCACAGGTATTTACTGAGTCGAAGCGCATTGTGTCAGGAGTTGTGCAAAGCATTCAATACGGGATTGTATAGCACTTGCTTTCGAGCAAGGGGAGGTTCACTTTTTTCATCAAACAACTTGCTGGTTGAGAGTGTTGCAAGTCACTACCTTACTTACATGTGTTCATGCTCTGTACAGGTGCTTCCTTGATTAATAGTAAACTTGGCTCATTTCAGTTTGTGTAGCTTCTTGGCGTGATATCAGGGACCAAGAAAAATGGAGCTGATCTCTTCTTTCTCGGTTGTGAAGCAGGAGCTGCCGCAAGGATTCCACTTATACCTGCGTCGGAGAAGAACCTGTGTAGGCAGGCTGGCAGCACGTGTCCAGCTCGTGCTGGAAGATGCGTGAGGCCAGAGCACTGTATCTGCCTGGTGCAGGTCTGGATCTGCTGAAGACCTCAAAAGTCGTGTTTTACAAGCAAAATGTATAATTTTAGGGGAATTGTATCATTTTAGGGGAGCAAGAAGGGGGAGAACTAGAATGCAGTAGAACTGAGCTCTTACCAGTAAGTCACAAAACGAGGCACCGCTCTGCTCTGCAGAAGTTTGCTGTTGGTGTTGGCTTAAATACCTATCATGCTGTGATGGGGGAATAGCATTCAACTGTGTTTTTCTATCAGTTATTCATGAACTTCATGTCTCATTCTTCTAGTTGCTAGTTTTCAAATTTAATACCAGGTGCAGTTTTAGTTTGTAATACCGCTGCATTTTGTTCATAGGTATAATGAAAGTGTCTTCACTCTTTGCATTTTTGTTTCCTCTGCAAGCTTGTCGTGGGGCTGTGGGATCTCTGAAACTCTGCTTCCTAGTGCTGCTGCATCAAATCTAGTAGGCACAGCCTTTTCTTCTCAGCAATTTGCTAAGGTAGATACCAGGTGACCAGAAAGATTCTGCAGACCTAGGCAAACACATCTATTGTTTCTGGTTTAAGATGGGTGGTCATTTCAATCCAGGTTATTTTTTGTGTTAACTGAAAAAAACCACAGGCATAGCTGAGAATTTACTTTGAGCTTTATTCACAGTTTATACTAAGACAATAGTCTCCCATATGACGTATTCACAGTGTTTGCTTTGATGATGAGGCCTTCCAATAGATATGTAAGTATTAGACTGGCTTATATGTAATATTCAAGTCATAACAAAAGACCTCTGGTTTAAGCATTCAGTGCCATAGGCCGATCTTTTAGTGCAGTCGCGTCTGTGGTTGTTGAGGAGCTTTGATTTCTGACACCAAGTGAATTGGTCATCAAGGAGTGCTCTCAGTAGCATGCCAAGGATTGTGAAAATCAGGTAGCAGACTGAACAACTGGAGAAGGCGGAAGAAGAAATGAAATTTTTTACGAACAATTATTGGAGTGAAGATGGCTCCTGAGCAGGTGGTAGGATGAGTGAGTCATGGTTTAATGGTGGCAGGAACCATGGTTTAGAAATGTTATTTATGCCTCTTAATTTCACAGAATGCTTAAATATTGTCTGTTGAATTTGTTATAACAGTCTTGTCATCAGAGTCCTTGAGGCTGTTCACAGGAGGAGTAAAGGGCTGTAGCATGTATTTGGTTATTGTTTACTCATTAAAGAGTCTGTCAACTTGCTGACTACAGTATCAAAAGTATTTTAGACTTGGTGATAGGTAGTTCAGAGTGTATTTTCTCTTTAGAAAAGAATCTTGACACTGCACTGAAGCATCTGTCAGCAAAAGGGCCTGATGTGATGTCAGTACTGTGTGGCTGTTTATTTTTACCTCATATGACGTGTCAGCCTGTCCTTTTTTATCATAAAATCCAATTGATTCTGCAGTGGGTTTTTTGGTTGGTTGGTATTTTGCTATTACAGTATTTTCAAAAGAATACATGAACTGATATGGCATTGTATTCCAGGATCTCCCGGTCTTTTGTATTGCCAGGGAATTAGAACTGACTCTTTTTTTCTTAGCTGAAGTTTTTTTTTGTGCCTGAATGCTCACCAAACAAGAACTACAGTCAATGTCAGTGGCACTTTTTGAACTGCTAAGAGAAGTTTCATATACCATATTTGGATTGGCTCAAGAAACATGCTGATCTTGAAATTTTAAAAGATTAATCTAATACTTAGCTTTTGCTTTAGCAATTGCATAACTAACGTGCCAATACCAGTCAATCTCTTGTATTTCTGTGTCAAAACCTGCAAGTTCTCGCTGCAAAGTTATTGCAGTCTGCAATAGCATGAACTTCCAATTTACTGTTGGCACAGAAATCTTCAGCAAACTGAAAATAAAGGGGGGGAAAGAAAAAGTAAGACTGAGTTAACATTAAAATAAAGCAAGGGATACTGGCCTGATTGGGAATATGGAAACCTGCATCTGAACTTACTTGAAGCTCTGCAGAGTTTCCATTTTGTCCTGTAAAGCAGCCTGGTGGCAAACTTTAAACCCAGTTTGCAACAGAGTAGGCAAGACTGTGCTTACTGGCTTAATATTGAAACTGTTGGTACGGCAGTGTAAATGCTTTCTAGAGTCTTCCTTTAGACTAGAAGTGTTTCTACTATTCCTCATTATTAGCCATCACTTCCTTGTTGCAGTCTCCTCTTCCTTGCTGTTAGCTTCTGCATGTTGTACACTCTTGCTATCAGCAGCTTCTGCAAAACTCTTGCTGACCTTATCTACTGAGTGCTGTTCCTTGCCTGAGGCTCAGCAAACTGGAGATAGGCCTGATAGCTACGTTTATCTTCCAGCATGCTGTGCTCTAAGCACTAAGAACTGCTTTGATTGAGTGGATATTAAGTGCAGACTCTTGTCATGCAAGCCTAAATATCTTTTGGGCAAGATTTCAGAAATTTAGGGCTTTGTGCTATGATCAGGTCACTGTAGAGTCATGGAGTAAATTCACATTCAGTGGGCTGTAACAGCTGTCCATGAGTGTGCTTGTAGATGCAGAATCGCTCATCCTGCAGTGAAAAAATGTAGTTGCATTTTCTTATATATGTTGAAGATGAAGGATATACAAATGGTCAGTAACCATGGCTTAACTCTGGAGTTAATGGAGGAACTAAATGAGTTTAATGGAGTTAAAGCCCCAAAGGGAGGGAGTTTGTCTTTTAGGTTTACTGCATATTTTGGGTGGGGGGGCCTTGGTGGTTTTTTTTTTTTAAGCCCTTTTTTTAGTGGGAGTCAGTTGGAAAGAACATTCCCTAGAAGTTGAAATTTATAGTCTTAATGCTGCAAACAGTGTAGAAATCTAAAGCTGAAAGTGTCTTTAGAGCTGTTCTACAGAAAGACATCTGAAATTATGTAGCAAATTAACTGCTTTCAAAGAAAAGTAAGGAAGTAGGTTCAGAATTGCGTGCTTCTGAGTGCACATTTTTGAAAATGTTGCCGTTTTGCTTAATATTTGACATTAGCCTTTAGTATTCTGAAATGAAGCTGGCAGAGGGCAAACCTGTTGCAACAAGGAAAGCTGGTTGCTTATGCATGTGCTTACATGGGATGGAGTAGTACAAAAAACCATTTAATTCATTCTGTGCTTATCTGCACTGTAGATGCTGCACGTTCTTTTCTTTGCTTTTCTGCAATATTTGTAAATTCACGTGAAGGGACCTTGGTGTTGAGGTAGATAACAAAGCTTAAATCTGGCAAAAAACATCTAATGACATCTTTCTCCTTACTTCCCAAAACACAAAGATTAAAGTTTTCAGCAGTAATTTTACGTAATCAACTTGATAGATTTAAAAGGGAGCTGATTTTCAGGAAGCGGTGAACCACCTCAAAAGTGGTCTTAGTTTGACCTGATGAAAAATGGGTGCAGCATCCACATGGGTAATTTCTAAATCACTTACTGTTTAATGGAATGTTAAATAAAACTGTAAAAAAAAAATAGGGAATGCTTTTGCAGTGTTCGTCCAAGCTACCTTCCAAACAGTGGTGAGGTGCTTGGTTTCTGTGGGAGGCTGGCCCTGCTTTTCAGTCTCAGAAATGCTTTTCCAACTGTTGCGGAGACTCATGCTGTTTAAAAATCCATCTCCTAAGCACAGTCAGCATCACTGATTATGGAGAAAAGGGAGATAAAATTGCTGATTTAAAGCAACATTTCAGCCTCACTTTTTCTAGATATTATCTTTGTAGGAGAGACTGCGAAGGTAATGGGGTTATTGAAGATCAAGGCGGGGAATCATAGTATGTCAGACTGCATTTGATTTTAAATTATACTTTAATGGATTATAAACTTGTATCTTCAGTTTTAGTAGTTCTAACTTGTTTGGGCCCATTCTTAAAAATAATCTTTAATTTTTTTTAGTAGAGGGTGACCTGTTGCATAGCTGTAATGTGATAATCCGAGCAAAGCATTTCCTGTCATGTTCGGTGCATAGATTCAAAAGTAAACCATGCAATACTTACTTTTTAATATGCTAAATATCATGTCCTCTGAAAACAGTTGTTAGGTAGATGTTTAATGAGTGAGTGAAGGACACCACCAAATTGCAGTGCTCATGAAGTGTCTGGGATGTGTGGATTTACTGGGACCTTTGCTTAAAAATGGTTTAGACTGAGGAGAACAGAGTTGTTAATTCATTGTGCTAATCAGTGACTTACAGAATGGACGTATGGGTTACTGAGTCACAATCTGTGGCTTCTGTGGGCTAATTCATTTTATCTTTGTACTTATTTATAGCCTCAGATGACAAAAACTCTGCATGTGCCCTAAAAAACCGTGATGACTTAATATCTGCAATACCATGCTCCTGGCCGTGATACAGGGGTTTTTGTTTGGTTTTAAGTGATCAAGGGGAAAAGAGTCCATTAGAACAAATAGGAGAAGTTGCTCTAATTTGAGCATCATCTGGCTCTGGCACTTTAGAGCGTACAGAATAAACTTAGTTGTTACCCAGAGCTTGGTGCTGTTCTGGAAATGTTCTCATTCATCTTTTTGTCCTTTAGGCACACCTCATCATTCTCCAAAGGTCAGAAAGCTACTTCATTTTTTTTTCTACCCAGCCATTCAGTTTGGAGTGTTTCTGTCTGCACCCAGATTTTCAAAGCTGAGTCTTTAAATAAGATGCTGGTGGTTTGGCTTACTTCTTTTGTTTGTTGTTTTTTTTTTCTTCCTTCCTCCTAAAGGAAAACAGTTGGGAAGCTACAGTCACATCTGACAGACCTTTGAAGACTGTAATTAAAATGTCAAAATAAGGAGGGGTTTTCATGGCTGTTAATTCTCAAGTTAGAGCTGTCTTTTCTTCCTGCTCTTTTTTACTCTAGTTCTAATAAAGGACAGGTTTTTCAGATGGCACTTCTGATATTTTAATGGTTTGGGAAATGGAAAACTTATTATACACTTATTCAAAATATGAGCAGTTTTAATGGTTGTTTCTAGTAAAGTTGACAGGAAATACTGCCCTGAGAGCCTTAAGAGTGATGCAGGTTTGACTGTCAGGAGACTAACATTTTCATTTCTTGTAGGCCTGAGGATACGCTTCTCTCTGTAGGTAAAGCCTTTTAGTTAGGTTCCCATCCTCTACTCCCTTTTGTTGTTATTGATCTTATATTTTTCCACATTTCAGGTCAGCCAGAACAATATTACCATGATGTCATCCCCATCTCCTGTCCAACAAGCTCAAACACCCCAATCAATGCCTCCGCCACCCCAGCCACAACCATCTCCTCAGCCAGGCCAGCCAACTTCTCAGCCAAATTCAAATGTCAGGTGAGCTGGACTGCAGCTTTTGAGGACCTTTGTCAATGTCATAAGGGTGGTGTTTGCAGAAGCATTCAATATATCTTACTCTGTTTCCACTGAAGTGAACGGATTTTTAACGTGAACTTCAGTGAGTGCACTAGTGGGATTGTGCCAAATACACTCTGAAAACCCCCATTTTAAATAAAGAAGCTGTGTATGAAATCCTCACCAAGTTTACTGGCAGAGCTACAGAGTGCCATAGCAATGCTTACTAAAAGCGTATCTGCTCACAGGCTGAACATGCTTCCTTGTCAGATTCTAGCAGGTTTGATTTTATGCTTATTTTTCAGCTCTGGCCCAGCTCCATCACCCAGCAGCTTTCTCCCCAGTCCATCTCCACAACCATCCCAGAGCCCAGCAGCTGCACGAACACCTCAGAACTTCAGTGTCCCATCCCCAGGTCCTTTAAACACTCCAGGTAAATGATGTGAAAACTCTACTGCAGACAGTGAGCTGGGAGGTGTTTTGATAACTGTAATAGTTCCCAGGAAACCTGTTATTGTTTGACACGATGTAAACTTGAAAAAGCTCTACAAAGCAGCCAGCATTGCAAGTAGTGAACATGTCACATGCACCACATAACCCAACAACGTGGGTATCTCAAGTCAAAATCAGTTGAAACCTGTTTTCTCATCACTGAACTATGTAATGTGTTTTTCTAACTTCCCCAATCTTTTGAAAAAGGAATGATACTTAATTTAATGGAGCAAGTTTATAGAGCGTAGTAATTCCTTGGTTTCATGCAGGGAGGAACCCTTAGCAACAGCATGCAATTGTAAAGGATGTAACCACTCAATCACAGGCAGCAGGCTGCTTTGCTCCAAAACACCTTCCTAGGTGTGTTCTGACACTTGTGCTCTTCTCTCTCCCAGATGTAATAAGCAGTTTCTGATACTGTGAATGGAAGTAACATACTGGCTCCTTCTCAGACCAGTGATAAGACAAGGGGTAACGGACACAAACTGGAACACAGGAAGTTCCACTTAAATTTGAGAAGAAACTTCTTCTTAGTGAGGGTGACAGAGCACTGGCCCAGGCTGCCCAGAGAGGTTGTGGAGTCTCCTTCTCTGCAGACATTCAAAACCCGCCTGGACGCCTTCCTGTGTAACCTCATCTGGGTGTTCCTGCTCCGGCAGGGGGATTGGACTGGATGAGCTTTTGAGGTCCCTTCCAATCCCTAACGTTCTGGGATTCTGTGATTCTGTGTTGTGTGCTCTGCAGTTTGGAAAGCACCGACTTAAGGAAAACTGCAGCAAATTCTGTGTGCTGATTTAGTGTTTAATGCACCAGAGTGAAGGCCAAATGAGGACCTAGAAAATGGGTATATGAAACTTTGGACCTTTTCACAAAAAAAAGTATTAAATGGGAATTGCTGTTCTGTCCACAGAACATGTTATTTCTACACAAAGACCAGAGGGTTGAACAACCACTTAAACTGTGGAGGGCATCCAGCTGTGGATTTGGATACTCAACATGAGCTACACTTGAATGCCACATTTCAGATCTAGATTCTGAAATGTGAGAATGCTGTTCTGCAGTATTTTTTATCATCCCTCTGACATGCAGTCTTTACTTCTTGCCAGGAAACCCAAATTCTGTCATGAGTCCAGCCAGCTCCAGCCAGTCAGAGGAGCAACAGTATCTGGAGAAACTCAAACAGCTATCGAAATACATTGAGCCACTCCGGAGGATGATCAATAAGATAGATAAAAATGAAGGTGAGGTTCCTGTATTTAGTCATGCATTTCTCTCTGTCAGCTGTCTCTTCTGATGAATGAAGCAGTACTTTGCCTTTTTTGATGGTTTCTATTTCAGGGATTAAAAATGACAGAGTTAGTTGCTCTTTCTTGCCTATGACTGTAAAGATTTTACTGTGAAGAGTGGGTAAAATCTTTTCTCTTTAAATTCCCATCACTCTTCCTTCACTACTTACGTTTTTGAGACATACAGAACTTACACAATGGATATGATTAAAGATCTTTGATCTTTACTACTTTCTTCAGTGTTGGCTTATGTTTTTACTTTTAACAGTATACTGTATTTCTGTCTGCAAGTACAGAGGCTATTCTTGTGTCAGTGTCTGTGTCTGATATTATTTCAGATAGGAAGAAGGACCTGAGTAAAATGAAGAGCCTCCTGGATATCCTGACTGACCCTTCAAAACGGTAATGTTTTCCTTTTGGCTGGACATCAGATTCCCCAACTCTTCCAGAAGTTTGTTGTTTAGCATCCAGCCATGCTGGCATTGAAGCTGCCTATGGGGCTCAGATAGCAGAGACACTTCAGCTGGTGATGAAATTTCTCCTCTTCTGCAGGTGCCCTCTGAAGACACTGCAGAAATGCGAAATTGCCCTGGAGAAGCTGAAGAATGATATGGCTGTGGTACGTAACGCTTTGCCTTAGCAAGAGATAAGCGGTTAATTCCAAAAAGTCTTATGATTTGGCCAGATAATTCTTTGTATTTCTTGTTGCTTATGCTGTTAAGACTTCAAGTAAGGTTGGACAAAATAAGAAAAGAGGAAAAAAGGGGCAAGCACTTACTTCGTGTAAGCCATCTGTATGTATCTTTTAACTGAAAATTTTTGTGCTTTGCGCAGAGACTTGAGTAATTATTTCTGTGAACTTCTGCCGTGAATTTCAGGACAGACTTCCTAAATGAAAGCTGCAGACTGCTCTTTTTTTTCCCTTTTTTAAAATATTGCTGTATGCAGTAATGCATTTCATGCATTGGAAGTTTACCGCTATAAAACATTGCGGGATCAATAGTAGAGATTTCTCTTCTGGTGATGATTAAAAGAAAAGGGGCTTCTCTTGTGTTTTAGCCTACTCCACCGCCACCTCCAGTACCACCCACCAAACAGCAGTACTTGTGTCAGCCACTTCTGGATGCTGTTTTGGCCAACATCCGTTCACCAGTCTTCAACCATTCCCTTTACCGTACATTTATGCCAGCTATGACTGCAATTCATGGACCACCAATCACGTATGTATCGTTGACCTGTTGTCTGTCTTAAGTGTTCATTATTTAAGGGTAAAATATTTATCTGTAGAAGCTATTAAAGTAACAGATGGATTTATGGACAGATGTGAGTTATCTTTCCTTTATACATCCGTAAAATATTTGATAAATGCAGTGTTGGCATAACATTTTTACCTAATTCTTTTGTGGATTGTATTTCACATAGGGCCCCAGTAGCTTCCCCTCGAAAACGGAAATATGAAGAGGATGAAAGACAGACTATACCAAATGTCTTACAAGGGGAAGTTGCAAGATTAAATCCTAAATTCCTCGTGAACCTGGACCCTTCCCACTGCAGTAATAATGGCACAGTTCATCTCATATGCAAGCTAGGTAAGCAAGAAGAAACTAAGGGCTGAATTCAGAAAGAAGTGCTTGCTTGTGGAAATTTGAGGAGTTTTTTTGCTAGCAGTCTTGAATCTTGCCAACCAGTGACTTCTTCATGCAGTCTGTACTCACCAGATTCATAGCTCTGCTTAACCGTGACATATTCTGCACAGCCTGCTTCAGGGTACACTTAGAGATTTCATTCACACTGGTCCTTTCTTTGCACTGAATTTGAAATTGTTAGTCTCATTTAGTGTCTAGAAAATTACTTAGTGCTAGCAATAACCTTGATTCCTGATTTGACCTGTGCGGAGAAACATCAACAGGCTGCAAGCCAAGGTGCTGCAGAAGCTGGGATTCCCATGAGGACTTTATTAAGAGAATAAATAGCAGCTGGGATTTATACAAAGGCAATCTTTAAAAGACTAAACTAAGTTATTATTAAGTATAACAGGACCTTGGGCCAGCCTAAAAGTAGGAGTTCAAACCTACACAAAGCACTGTGTGCCTGGGTTATCTCTACCAGAACACTGGTTGAATGGTGTCTGTGGTGTGTGACAGGATATCTTGGTCATAAAGTATGGGAATGATGGATGGGAAAGTGCTGCAGTATGTGAACATCCTGATGGGCTGCATAGTCAGGTCCTTATCTGTAGCTATAAAAGAGGTAGAAAATAAAAACTTCACTTGGCATCCATCTGCTGAGTCAGTTTCTTGTTTTCAGCTCACTGCAGACCTGTACTGACATGTATGAATTATTGTACCTTCAACAACTAGGATGGAGCTAGAGAAATGTTAAGTTTTGGGAGGGTCTATTTGAATTTGTACTAATGATCAGTGACAGTGATCTATGTATGTAGAAAGAAATTCAAATTGCACCTCTTTCTCATCTCAGCTGAGTAAGCGTGAAGTGTTATAGTCTATTAACTTGGTTTGCTTTTGGAATCCAATGGAGAAAAGAGATTCTTACCTCTTCCCCTTTGTTTGGGAAACCTCAACTGTTTTTTCCCTGACTATTAGTAGATAAGGCACTTAATATTCAGAAATGAGGTGTCTAACTTAGTGAAGTTCAGCTGATGAAGTGGTGAGATTGTCATGATGCAGAAATGTGTGAGAGATGGAGCTGTTTGCCAGGCTTTTCTGCCAAGAATTTAAGACTGTTGTTCAAGTGAGCAATGAGATTGCTTTACAGTAAAAATGGAGATGTGCAGTCTGCTTTGTCCTTAGGGTCTAGGGACTGGAAACCAAGCTGAGTTATGCAGAAAAACCGCCTCCTTCCATAAAGGAGTGCTTTGTTCTGATGGGAAGTGTGTTTGCATTCCAGATGACAAGAATCTTCCAAATGTCCCACCACTACAGCTCAGCGTTCCAGCGGACTATCCAGATCAGAGCCCTCTGTGGATAAAAAACCCTAGACAGTATGGTATGAGTATGCTAGCATGAAGTTTGTTGGGCATGTGTATGTGGTAATAGTGGGGAAATGTGAACACCTACTGTTAACTTTCTCTTTTTTAATATTATTTTTATTATAACTCTGTTTATCTGTTATCTTTTTTTCCAGCAGCCAATCCCTTTTTGCAGTCAGTGTATCGGTACATGACTTCAAAACTATTGCAACTTCCGGACAAGCATTCAGTCACGGCACTCTTAAACACCTGGGCCCAAAGTATTCGTCAGGCCTGCCTCTCTGCTGCGTAACATCTCACTTTCTAAGTTGTGAAGCAAGAAAGGAAGTCTCAACAGCTGGTCTCTTCCACATGCCACTGGAAAATCGCGTTTGGGGAGGGTACTTCAGAAGAAAGAAGCTTTATGCCATTTTGTTTCTAGGTGTCAGGTTCAGTAGAGAACCTGATGTTAGATTTAGTTTTTATGCTTTTTATCTTCTGCCTCTGTGGACTCTTGCCAGCATTTTCAAATATACAGAATGTGTATATATGGTTCTTGAGACTGTATTAGGATGAGGTTTTTATTGTCTTCTTAGAGAAGAAATTATTTGTGGACTTCCATCAGGGAGTCTGGTATAAGAGGGATTAGGGAGAATGTCCTAATTTGCTTCAAAGTTTGCTCAGTGCCAGTATTCCTTCACACTGTAAGTTTTGTGACTTGATATTACCCCAGAAATAAATTGGCTGGAACTAGAATGTGCTTGCAAACTTCTCAGTGGTTGCAAGAATCTTTTTGCCTATCAGCTTTGCCTAGAGGTGGGATAAATTGCAGCCTTTTAAGGCATCTCTGAAATATGTGAGATAAATCTGGATAATTACAGTTGGGGGTGGTGGAAAAAAAAGTGTTTTACAGCTTATTTTAAATACTACTTCATATAAAAGGTTTTTGGTTAGCATGGACCACGTGTTTCTCCTTCCAAGAGAGTGAGGTGATTAGAAAGAAGGGACATTAATGTGCACACTGACTTGTACCGGTTGCCATGGTAGCTGTTGCTATGCTAATGGTTGCTACAGTTGCTGTTGCTATGGCAATAGTTACTGTGGTAACTGTTGCCATGGTAACCATTGCTAATTAACGATTGCCATGGCAATGGGTTGCTATGGTAACAGTTGCCATGGTAGCTGTCGCTATGCTAATGGTTGCCACGGTAGCCATTGCTATGGTAACAATTGCCATATTAACCAGTTGCCATATTAAACCGTTTGCCATGGTAACAGGTTGCAGTGGTAAACAGTTACAGTGGTAATGGGTTGCAGTGGTATCTGTTGCCATGGTAATGGATCACCATGGTAACCGTTGCTATTGTAATCATTGCCATGGCAACCGTTTTCCGTGGTAACAGTTGCTGTGGTAACCAGTTTGCCATGCTAATGGGTGGCCATGGCAAATGTTGCCCTGGTAACCATTGCTATGGTAACAGTTGCCATGGTAACTTAACCGTGGTAACCCCAGCCACTCCTCCAAAACTGCTTGCAACAGCTGCAAAATTCAAAGCAAAAGGCACATGCTGAGATACTGCCCAAAACCCCAGCTAACCTGCACCCGTTCCCATCTCCTATTCCTTTCCATGGCCCTGCCTCTGCTTGGCCTCGAACCAGGGCTCACCCCTGCTTAGCCCTACCCCAAGAACACCTGGCCACGCCGCACACACGAGTGGTTCCGCTTCACACACTGCCGTCTCCAGCCCGCGGCCCTGTCCCACGCAAGCCACAGCGCCG